GGGAGAAACTGAAAAGACACTGCAGAGACTATTCCAAAAGATCTGGGATGAAAAAATCTAGGACTAGGAATATGATATAATCATCCAGATCCATAAGAAATACCAGAGAGAGAGAGAGAGAGAGCGACAACCATCAGACCATATGTCTCTAACCAGTAGTCTATAAACTGTACAGCAGAGTTCTCAAAAGAAGGCTACAAACAATATTAAAAGACAATCTAGAACCAGAACAAGCTGCTGCTATCTAATCTAAAAGACAGAAGATAGGTAACATATTTTCATTACGAATGATAGTAGAAAAGGCTAGGGATTGAGGGAAGAATATGTATCTCACCTTTTTGGACCTTGAGACAGCCTTTGATAATATCCGGTGTGAAGAGATTCGGGATGCATTATAAAGGAAGAAAGTCCCTCCTAATCTGATAAAGGCTATAAATAATGTCAGCCTACCAGGAACCTAAGTGAGTGACCTCGGTGGAAGAGTCCAGATCCTTCTTTAAAAATGGTGTCAAGCAAGATGACAGCTTAAATCCCCTTCTTTTTATAACATTTATAGATGAGATTCTTAAGATCTGAAAGAGAAGTCCCCAAACAATAATCTGGTATATGGACCTCTTTCCTATTTTGAAACAGGTATTTGTATTTGCAGATGACAGGGCTAATATAGCAGACTCTCGGGACAATCTACAGAAAGCAGTTTTGGTATGATGAGAGGAATTAATCTAAAAAGGGATAATTGAAGGAAGCTAGTCGACTGTTCTACATATCATGGGTGATAAATATTCAGGATGCAGTCATTATAAAAAATTTTTATTTGTGCCAACGTTTCAACACAAACATGTGGGTCTTCATCAGGGCGTGGTTCGAGCACTGAGTACTTGAAGCCTTCAGTGCTCAAACCACGCCCTGACGATGACTCACATGTTTGGGTTGAAAAGTTGGCACAAATAAAAAATTTTTATAATGACTGCGTCCTGAATATTTATCACCACTAAACAGGGATAGATATAAATGCAACGAAATTAAAGTAATGCATGTTGGGAGAAATATTTAATATCAATTGCAATGGAATGTATGGATACATACCAATATCTGAAAACACTTGTAAGCAGAGATATTTTCTTTGATCCAGAAATTTCAAATTGACTGAAGAAAACTAATGGTTCTTCTACCAAATCATCAATACATTAATCGGCAAGAAGGAAATAAATAGGAATACTAAACTGTTGGTCTTCAATGCAATACCGATTTTTTTCGATACCTAGATGATTCTCGATTGAATAGCACCTTTATTCACCAATAATGAGAATTTTCCAAATGAAACAGCATGAACCTCAAAGAAAATAAAGGCCAATATATGCGGCCTATGTAATATATATCAACTAAATAGATTTCTAAATGATTGATTGACGCATTCATTCAGCAATAAGGAGAATTTAACAAGCTACATCTTACAGACTATGATGGATAAGAACGATAGGCCGATATATATTGTTATTGGCTTAAATTTCTATATCTGTTAATCCCTGGAAGATTGATTTACACGTTCATTCACCAATCATGGGAATATTCCAAGTAAAACTTTACCTATCTCGATAAAATAAGACTGAAAGGCGAATATAAGGATCTTTGGAACAGTTGTATCATGTTCAATGCCTACATAAATCAACCCCTAGACGATTAATGATGAATTCTATGATCAAGTTTAAAACTTAAAGTATCATTTAAGATAGAGCTAATGGATATAGTATTGAGCTAATGACTGAGAATTTTAATTTTAATATATATATATCTTAAAATTTGAGGAGCATTGACTTGAGTAACGTTGCAGCTAAGAAGTTTCACTTTGTCCTAAAAAAATTGGTAATTTATTAATGAAGTCCACCAATGATGGTTGGAGGACCAGGAAAACCCACATTCCTTTAATTTTTATCTTAAAAAAAATATCACCACCATGTTCTTACAATTACTTATTATTCAAGAGGCATATATAAATTTTGTTCATACATCTTAATAAATTCACAGAATGGGTGATAATTATTCAGGATGCAGTATTTTTCTAAAAAAAGACTGCATCCTGAATATTTATCACCCATGCTATATAGAACAGTCGACTAACTTCCTTCAATAAATTCACAGAAGTACTGAAAATTTATTACATAGTATGTTACCTGAATTAAAACCACCGGTTTTTTAATTGTTCCGTACTTAGATGTTTTTTTAATTACTTAGCACTTATTAAAATATAAAAACAGAGAAAATGATATAATATACTCATTTATAATAAGATTTCAAAATTCAGACAGAACATTGTTTAATAATTGTGTAATTGGTATTCATTGATGAAATATAATAAAAACGCAAAAAGCTCCAAATTTTTGTAATGCAGATATGCAAAAATAATTAGCATTCAAGAAAAGTAGTGGGGAAAGAGCTACATCAATCAATGCTTCATCGTGGCCTATCAGTCCCTAGATCATACCGTTGATTATCTTAATTTGTGTACTTATACTAATGTTTTAGCTTTAAAACTTCTATCCAAGAAATATCTTTCCCTTTCATCACTAAACTAAAGCTTGTATGCCCATCTTTCAATATAAAGTATTTAGTTTAAATATATTTTATTATCTTTTATTAATGGATTTTTAAAATTTTTAATGGATGTGATTATTTAATCATTGACTATTTAATTATTAGGAGCCAATTAGACAGATGTCATCCCCAAAACTTAAGTTGTTTTAGTATCTGCCATTTATTTTGATGCTTCTTCCTTTAAAGTCCAATTCTTAAAACATTTTATAAATGAAAGTTGAAGAACATCAACCATTTTAATAATGTGACAGTTTAAGAGTGTCAGTAATCCTTGTTTCACTCCTTTTATATATTAAGAGATTTCAAGAGCAACAAATGTTTTCCCAATCACTATATTTTAATTAACCATTATCTGTTGTATAATATTATATCTCTGATTTTATCAACAAAATTTTAGCTCTGATGATGACTAACACGTTTGGGTTGAAACGCCAATAAAAACATTATAATGACTGCGTCCTGAATATTTATCAGCCATGATATGTAGAAGTTGACTAACTTCCTTCAATAAAGAAATGCTTAATTTAAGTAAGTAACAATTGTTTCACAGTAAACACTACAACATTAACTTCAAATGATAATAGAATTTGTCATTGTTATAAACATTTAATATAAACATCATAATACCTAAAGAGGACTTTAGAGTGGATAAATTAAGTAAGTTCCAGTTTTTTATAAATCATAAATTCCTCACAATTTTTTTTTTTCCTTCTCCAATTACACTACAGATACCACACATTCAAAAAAACTTCCTTGTTTAGTAAGATTTTAGTCCATATTAATTAATTTGGGATTTATTAGGGGAAAACTTGAAATTCACCAAAGTTGTGTAAAAAAATGATGTGATTTTATATCTTGTCATCTAAAAGTACCCGTGTTTTCAGCAAAAATGACTACAATAAATTGTTGTAAAGCTTTTATTTATTGTTGTACCAGATATGGGAAGTTTAAGAAAAAAAACATAATTGCCTAAATACACTTTTTATTTATTAAAAAAAAATGTTATAATTAATGATTTTTCAATTATTCATGATCTAAATCAGTGATCTCCAAACTAAGCATCTTCAATTCGGCCAGCGAAAGTTTCTTTGATAAGATTGTAAAATTTGAAAAACTATTTAAAAATATGAAATTTAGCAACTTACTCACACAGAAGGTTACTACATTTATTGCATGTTTTTGTTTTTCTTTCTCTTAGGCAGCACATTTCACAGCTGAAGAAACATTTATAAAACAAATTATTATTTTCATAACAAGCCATGACTCGCAGGACTTGGATGGAGGTCTCAATGTGGCCTGTGGACCAAGAAGTTTGTAGACCTCTGATCTTGAGTGATAATGATAAAATTGTTTTTACTAAAATGCCTATTACAGGAATCGATCTGTATTTATAAGTAATAAAATGAATATTTTTAATCCTACAATTTACATTTAAAATAAAAAAATCTGCTGATTGCTTCAATTATTTTCATGAATACATAAATATTAGGCCCAGCAACATTTAGTTTGTCATTTATAAATATGGATCAATTCCTATAAAAGAGATTTGGGGAAAAAAAACACAGTTTCATAACCGCTTACTTTACATAAAAAATATTTACAAATCATTAATTAATTATAACACTTTTTTTTAATAAATAAAAAGTGTATTTTAAAACAGAACTTAGTTTAGTTCCTCGAAAGTCCTGTTTAAATGGTCTTAACAATGACAAACTCTATTAAAATTTTAAGTAAATTTTGTCTAGTTTACAGTGAAACAATTGCTCATTACTTAAATTAAATACTTCTTCAGTTAGCGCTTTCTATTATACAAAAAACATGATGTTTAAAAAACATAAAACTTATTATTACCTATTTTTCTACCGAAAATCGGACCAATGTTTATATAAAATCATTGTAGCTTTTGATGGACACTCTGTTTATACACCAGTATACATATGTATTATGGCAAGTCATACCTATTATGGATTGGTTATTGATTTTCCTTGATAAAAAAAATTTGATTTTCTAATTATTTTTTTAAAAATATATATTTTATTAATAAACCATTTTTGTACCAATAAAGACAGTTTATTCTTTTCTAAAAATATCTTATGTAAAACAAGAGTGTTTTGGCTTTATCAAATAACTTTAGAAGTCAGTACAACAAATAATGTTACAATTATAAGTGTCAAAGAGGCTTCTTTGATGTTTATATTTGTTCAAAAGAGATTTGTTTAATTTTTGTTAGATTTCTTAAAAAGTTATGTATCATGAAAATTTATAATTTCTGCAGTATTGTGAATTATATGAAATTATTATTAATAATGATCAGTTAACAAAAAATTTATCATAAACCAAACATTTCTTTTTTACCTAAATTTAGAAGAACAGAGAGTAATTTATACATATTGATAGAAAACTGTTAACTAGCATATGAAGTTATTACATCTTTTGTCATTAATTACCTTATAAGACATTTAAGTAGAAAAACTAATTAAATTTGTTTATATTTATAATGTATTGTAGTGATTTTACAATTGAAATTCGATTACTTATAAATTTGAGCAAAATTACTCATACTCATATGCGATTATTAAGATTGAGATTTAATAAAATAATAGAAATAAAATATAACATATAAGTTTTTATATATTTAAAGAACAATAATTATCCCCCATAAAATATAATTTATAAAATTAAAATTCCACTCTCAATCTTTTCTTGGAATCAAATATAACACTGAATAGAAATTTAGAAAATAAAGAAAAATTGACTTACCCTCAATACGTAATCCTTTCCTTCGAGAGTGAATTTGTTACCACCAATGATAAAATCAATAGCAGGCAGTTTAGGGATCAGATCACATGATACCTATAAAAAAAATAAAAATAAACTGTAATAGTGGTAGCATCTGAAAAAGTTAAACTAATTTCATTTCTAGAAATGTATTTATCATAAAACAAATATTTAAAAAATGTTGATGGATTCATATTTTTGTGGATTCTATGTTGTTGAAGTGTCTTATGTACGGACGCGAGCAAAGTTACCCAAATATTTTTTTAAAGTTTTAACAGCTGTTAAAAAGGATTTTAAAATACTTTTACAAGGAAGAGAATAAGAATTGGCAAAAGCAACAGGCAGCTGAGAAAATATGGGAATCTCTTAACAGAGGAGCCGATGAAACAAACAAAAAATAGAAAAGAATCGGTGACAAATTTCCACATGATGACAGGACACGATTAGAATTGGAGTGATGGAAAGCCCTGTTACCCTCTTTGCCAAGAGGACGAGATGTATGACCTGCACCTCCCAGTTTGCCCTGCTCTGTCAGATGTCCGCGGTAATTCTGATGGGATCGGCACAAATTCAAGCAAAAGAATCATAATGGAATTGTATTGGGCTGCCATGAGCCGAATGGCTAATAGCCGAATGGCTAAATAAAAAAAAATATTTAAATTTTTTTTTAAATAGTTGGCAATTATCCGTTCTGTTTAGACTTTACCTTCGGTAACTATAAGAATATTGCTAATGACAGAGATGCTAGATGAATAGGGGAGAGAAAGGAAGGGAAAGTAAAGAAAAAAAAAATGAAAAAGGAGAGAAAATTCATAGAGTAAAAAACTAAATAGAAATACGACAAAAAGATGCATATTCTGTACCCTCCAGAGGATACACCTGTATCCTTCCCCTAACCACCAAAATCTTCTAATTAAGTACTGGCCACTGCACAATACTCAGGAAACATCTGTAGAGTCACAGTTGTCACTTTCTATTTTATCATCATTATCAACCAGAGATAATGATCTAAATCCTAACTGCTATAGGAATTAATATTTCAATTATTTTTTTATTTATTCATTATTATTATTATTATTTTTTAAACAATTCCTCTTGACGCAGGAGAGCCCCTTTCAACACTGTCCTGAAATTTATTGAGGACGTAGTAGACTTTTTCCCTTTATCTTTTGTTTTAAAAATTACATTCAGTTTTGTTTTTCTACTATTCATGAAAAGCTACTTTTCTCTTCTATTAGGTTGTTCAGAAAATAATGCAGGATTTTGGTTTAAAAAGAAAAAAGAAAGATTTATAACTGATTTATTTAGTCAAAATAGTATCCACTTTTATCAATATATTTCTGCCAACGTGTTGACAACTTTTCCATTCCCTTAAATAGAATTTCCGATCTTTAGAATTGATTAACTCCAAAAACGCATTGTCTAATACAATATGTTCATTAAATTTTTATCACATAAGTAGTGGTCAAGGTGTTTAAAAAAATGATAATCTGTATCTGGCGAGATGTGCAGAGAGTAGGGCGGATGTGGAAGAGTTTCATATCTATAACAGTTTTTGTGACATGTGAATACGATTCGGTATTGATGTTTCTTTAGGATTTAGGAAGCTGTAGTGTATCAAACCCAAATGAAGCCCATCAAACTAAACAATTAACTTTTTATGATTAGTTGTGGCTCTGGAAAATGCTGCTTCTCGCCTTGTCGATCCACTGTCCAGAATGTCTAATGTTATCGTAAAGTATCCACTTTACATTACAAGTAACAGTTCTGAACAGAAAAGGGTTGTTTTTTTATTGGCACGAACTTCATAACGTTGGTTTTTCAGGCAGTCGTTTAATGTGTGTGGAACCCAATTTTTAAGATTTTTTTACATTTCCAATCACCTTGAGGTGGTCATCGATGGTTGATTTGTTAAGGTTAAGTTTTCCTACAAGTTCTCGAACAGTTGTTCTAGGGTTTTCATCCATCAAAGCCCGCAGAGCATCATCATCAAGAGAGAAAGTCCTTCCACAATCTTCTTTGTCTTTATGGCTAAAGCCTCTCTCCCGAAATGTTTTGAACCCCCGTTGAACAGTGTACTCATTAATACTGCTCTCGCCCCAGACTTGATTTCTCCATACTTCATTCTTTCCATCCTCTCGTTAATAAGATGGTTGCATTTTTGACATTGCTCGTATGTCCTTTAACAACATTAAATTTTTCAATATTAAGTTCTTCTCTTCCATGCCCTTTAGGCTATGCATGGATTTTCCCAGGCCGGAGGAGAGGGTGGAGAAATTATGGCGAGTTAAAAGTCCCACTTGTAATTATTTCTCTATCTCTAACTTTGGTCATCAGGTTGCCGGGCAACACACAGTGCTGTGCACACACGTTATGTCGCTCAGCCACCCTGTCCCCATCCCTCTTACCGATTATGTAGTTCTTTGAAAGAGAACTGTTTAAGAGAAAGTACTGGGATTGTGAAAATTTTCAAAGATACTTGAGTTCAAAGAAAATTCAATTTGAGTTTTCAATAGAAATACATGTTCTAAGATCCCCTCAGTCCAAATAAACAAGTCTTGCAAAATGGTCAGTGTTTAAACATTCTAGCTCAAAAACGAAAAGCCGGATGCTACGGAAATTGCTTATTAAAGGTATGCACATTCCTGGGTTATCACAACAACTTTATCTTCTCTTTCACAATACTTTATATCTTCAATTTTACAATTTTCTCTAAAAGGGCTCTAATAATTTTGATTAAATTCATATTATCAGTGTAATATTAAGCAGTTTATAATATAATGTAGGTCTTATTCTCATAGATGTTCTCTAACAAGGTTTAATTGGCTAATTTTCACAATTTCTTTCTTTATAATACCTTTAATTTGAAATAATTAACCATTTTACGTTATAAACTGATATTAAAAATGGGTGTATTAAATATAATGGGTGAAGAAAATTGGTTGGTAACTAAAGGAATAATATGGAAAATAAAAGAAAAGTATCTACATCAACTCCAAAGTATAATGAAATTAAACCGTAACCCCCATTTATTTATAAAATAAGATTGATGTACTTAAATAGCAATTTTCTCATCTATATCAAACATGCTGAATCTAAAATATTCCAGAAAGATAACTTTTAACTGTTGTTTTGAATAAAATTTAAGAATCGCTAATGTTCGGCCACATGCCAATTCTAACCAAGCCTTTAATGTACCACTTATTGACATGCGGAACACAGGTTGGACCTCCCCCTGTTCTTAACTATAAATCCAATATAAAAATAAATAATAAATATTTACATATATGTCTATGAGTATGTAATCAACGAATTCAGTTCAAGTAATTAACTTTATGCTAATAAATTGAAATTTTACCCTAAAACTGCAAAATCATGTAACAAAAATGGGCAATTCAGCCCAAAAAGAGCTAAGTGTACAATATCACATTTCAATATGTTATTCTACAGATCATGAAACAGACAGATAATCAGGTTTGAAGTTTTTACATGCTAGTGAATAAAATTTGTAATAACATGGAAATTCAGTCTCTGTCTATAAAATATGTGATACCAATCCTTAACCACTTCTTGAAATAATACTCAAAATATTCTCCCACAAAAATACAGTAAAATAGTTCTTAAACAATTGTAGTGGCTCGATTCAGTGGATTATATCTATTTTATGACAAGCTTAAAATAAATTTTATAATTTCTATCAAAATTCCACTCAGTTTCCATGAATAAAAATAAATTCATTTTGAATTCAATAACATAGAAGTAGACATTATTAACCAAAATAATTATTCACTAGTTTTTTGTCACTTTTCAATAACTTCTATGAATTTATATATCAAATACAATTTTTTCAAAAATCCTCAGTTTTCCAATGATACTATTATACATGTATATTCTGACTTTTACTTCCAAAAATTCATTTATAACTTGAAAAAAATCTTTCTTTTTTGTAGCTTTTAGTCAATTATTTAAATGTTTCATAGTTTATAATGTGCCATTTTTAATTACAACAAGCAATGAGTCAGTTACTAATTTACAGTTAATAACTGTCAGTCGACATCAATAAGAATAAGACCTAGCTAATATCAACTACAGTGACTTAATAATACAGTGGGGACATATGGTGTCAACTTTTTGATTGGTTGACTATATTGGTTTGTTCCTTGCCACCTGCTTGCTCTATAGTCACCTCAAAACTGTTAAATTTTATTAGCAATATTTTAGTTTAGAAGTGTAATCTTATTGTTATACAGTTAAACAGTTGTTTAGCTGTTAAACAGGTAGTTTTATTGAATAGTTATGTTTCATCTTAACAGACTCTTATTTTATTAATGATATTTTAGTTTAAAGTTTAATTTTGTCTTTTTAGTGATAGGTTTAGTTTATTAATAGTTATAAATATTAGTGTTTAAAGTGATAAGTTTGGTTTCATCTTCATAGATTTATAATCATGAGTATACTTTAATTGTTTTACTTGATTGTTGGTCATTACTTGAAGTTCCTACTTAACATATTTAGCAGCCATTATTTTTGGGTCGGGGCAAGAAAGCGACATGCCATGATATAAATTTTCCAGTAAAGCAGTTGCTGTTACCATGTACCAGTTACCATTCTTATTCAATGTTTAACACAGTTTATATTTCATAATATTAAATGATAAGTTTCAAAAAGTGGCAGTACGATTGCACATTAATTTCATTGTTTTTTGAAAAAATATCATAACTAAGGGAGAGATAGGTTATATTAAAAATATAAACTTTTTTTTTTAAAAGTAGCCAACTAAATATTTTACTTTCTAAAATAACCATTAACATAGAAAAAAATAAATAAATAAAAAAGATGTATTTTGATGATACTGATAAGGAATATAATTTCAAATTGATATAGTATATAATTTGATAATATTGATCTGGGTACATTAGATCTCATTAACATGAAGTCTAAATTCCAAGAAATTTAGATTAACTGTATAAGGTGATATAGCTTATCAACTGAATTGGAATAAATTAATTTATTTTGTGAGCCAATCAATAAATCTTGGACTTCCTATTCTGGTTAGAATAGATTTGGTTATACTTCAAGAAGAAACCTCCCTCCATGTATTCCAGATATGGAGAGATAAGAGATTATCTGGAGGAAGAAAAAAAAAATTTGGCTACATAAGGCCACGATGGTCGAGTATGTAAAGCATAAAGTTTAACATTCTCGTGCTTTAGCAAGGCCGTTTCAAATCTGGCCTTGCCTGTTTAAATTTGTTTCAAACTCAGAATGAATCTCAAACTTTCCACTCAGGTTCGAATAGGTTTGGTTATACCTCTAGAACAAATCTCTCCTCCCCATGTATGTCAGAAATGGTGTGGTATGGAATTAGGCTTATCCCTAATATAATTTGTCTACAGAAACCTAGAACTATATTTATTTTTTTATATTTGAAACTTAAAAAGTAGGAGGAAATTTTTGATTCTGAGGACAACAAACTTTTTTATATACACCACGAATACAAAGCTTAGATAGTGAGGAAGCAAAATTACATTTTTTTTTAGGTTTGTTAGATATCTATAATATAAAACCAGTTTTAAAGAAGACATGAATATACACTAAATAAGTGAAAGTAAAACCAACAGACCATACATTGAACAATTTCATTCAGAAATCAAGTTGCTAAATTCATTTCCCAACAATAGGTGAATAGATGATTAAAGCCCCACTTTTGTGGCACAAACAGATCTTATACTTGTTTTTTACTTAAGGAAAAGAAAGAATAGAAAACGTTCATAAATTATTAATAATACATAGAACAAACATCCATAACGACATCATTTTCTTTATTTTCTCTTCAATTTGTTTTTGAATAGATGGTACTATTGTAACAAAAACAGTCTTTGCAGCTATAGAGTAGGTAATTTCTTAGTACATTCATCTTGAAAGTATCCATCTTTCATCTTCTTCTTTTTCTTTCAAAGACTATTTTTCATGATGTGACAACCAAACAACTTAACATTTCTTGCTGGATTAGGAAAGAGCACATTTCCTAGAACTTTGTATTTTCTATTGCTGAGATATGCCAAAAGCCATCTTTTCAAAACGGACAAGATTTAAAGATTTGCTAAAAAACCAAGAAAAAGAGTACCACCCACATTAATTAAGAAAATTCTTTAACTCAGGACTAGTGCTTCACTGAATGATATTTCTTTATATTCACATCATCAAATTTCAACAATATTCATGGACCAAATCTAAAATATGTTGGGTACTTATACGGCGAATAATTTCATGTTTTCTAATTTTTAAAATAGAAACCTAAGAAGAAGCATGATTATGAATAAATAACTTAGAAAGGTTAAGAAATTTAGATGTGGATGTTAAACCATCCTGTCTCCCGAGTTCAGTATGCAACGCTGATGCGCTCAGAACAGTACTCAATTTACCCTAACTGAAATAACAGCACTGGAGCCTGTGCACAAAAAAAATTGACCTCATCGCAGCCGAAGGTTCGAATATAAATTAGGAAAGTGTATATTAATCTAGGTAAAATGAACCATGTCTGCCATTCCTGAGCTGGTTTTAAAAAATGGTGGCTGATTTAGAGAATATTACACCAGTAACTTGAGGATCAAAACGGGATATATATTGTGAAAAATGTGGGAACAGCCGAAAAAAATATACTTCTTCAATCTTTAGTTTGTTTTTTCAGCTATACCTCCCTTCTAAACTGTGCATCAAAGCGAAAAATGTAATCTTTAAGAGATTGAAGAACATTAAATTGCATGAATCTTTCCTGTTAGGAAACTCATTTCCAAGCTACATTTATAGTAATTTGTCTCAATTTTTGACAATAGAATTTTGGTAAAAATAAGTGTTTATTGATCTTGGCTTTCTACCATACCACTTAATCAAATAATTAAGTTTAGGAACTCATTCAATACATAATTTAACGTTCTTCAATTTTTTTTTTTTTTCATACGCCTAAGTAACGCCTGCTTCATTAGCCATGCGTGCTCTTGCAGTCCAATACAATTTTGCTCTCCGAGCATAATAGCTGTCCATTTCATTAAAGCAACATCTTATGTCCTGTAATGCAGGGCATGTATCCAGATGTTCTCCTATCATTATGTCTAAGGAACATAGAGGGCATGT